TAATTTTTTGTATTTTTAATAGAGATGGGGTTTCACCGTGTTAACCAGGATGGTCTCAATCTCCTGATCTTGTGATCAGCCCACCTCGGCCTCCCAAAGTGCTGGGATTACAGGTGTGAGCCACCGCGCCCGGCCTTTTTTTTTTTTTTTTGAGACGGAGTTTTCCTCTTGTTGCCCAGGCTGGAATGCAACGGCATGACCTCGGCTCACTGCAACATCCACTTCCCCGGTTCAAGTGATTCTCCTGCCTTAGCCTCCCGAGTAGCTAGGATTACAGGCATGCGCCACCACGCAAGGGTAATTTTGTATTTTTAGTAGACAGGGTTTCTCCATGTTGGTCAGGCTGGTCTCAAACTTCTGACCTCAGGTGATCCACCCACCTTGGCTTCCCAAAGTGCTGGGATTACAGGCGTGAACCACCATGCCCAGCCCAAAGACATCTAAAGAATTCAAAATATATTCATGCATAGGGACAATAAAAAGTGGGGAGAGGGCAGGAACATTTGCTAGCAGGCTGCTGAGTTCTAAATAGAGGTGAAGTGTTTGGTTCTTGGTGAGCGGACCCCAGAGCAGTTAAGAGATCTACCTGTAACTTCCTCCAAAAGGCTTCTCACTACTCACACATCCAGAGGTAGTACATGGTAGATACAGTCTTCTGAAATTCTTGGGGGATCTCCATGGAGATGTCCTGGAAAAAGCAGGGCTGAACTGGACAAAAAGAAGGTAGAGGGGGCCAATTGTTCTGTCGAGCTGTAAGGCACAAGAAAAACAGAGGGACCCCAGAAGTAAGGCAGAGACCAACAAAGGAATCACTGGCCCTTCTTCTCTCCATCCCTGGATCCTCTTTCTTTCTTTCTTTTTTTTTTTTTTTGAGACAGGGTCTCACTGTGTTGTTCAGGCTGGAAGGTAGTGGTATGATCACGGTTCACTGTAGCCTCAACCTCCTGGGCTCAAACAACCCTCCCACCTCAGTTTCTTTTCTTTTTTTTTTTTTCCTGAGATGGAGTTTCGCTCTTGTTGCCCAGGCTGGAGTGCAGTGGCGTGATCTTGGCTCACTGCAACCTCTGCCTCCCGGGTTCAAGGGATTCTCCTGCCTCAGCCTCCCGAGTAGCTGGGATTATAGGCACGTGCCACCACGCCCAGCTAATTTTGTATTTTTAGTAGAGACAGGGTTTCATCACATTGGCCAGGCTGGTCCTGAACTCCTGACCTCAGGTGATCCACCCGCCTCAGCCTCCCAAAGTCCTGGGATTACAGGCATGAGCCCCGGCACCTGGCCATCCACCTCAGCTTCTTGAAGAGCTAGGACTGCAGACAGATACTATCACGCCCTGCTAGTTTTTTTCTTTAATGTTTTGGAGACAGGATCTCACTATGTTGTCCAGGCTGGTCTCTAACTCCTGAGCTGAAGCAACCTGCCTGCCTCAGCCTCCCAAAGTGTTGGAATTACAGGCGTGAGGCACCACATCCAGCCCTGGATCCTCTCTTTTATCTCCAATTTGGGGTCCAAGGAGACAAGGGAGAGTGGAAAAACTAATACTGTTTATTATTATTTAAAACATCCAAGCACTGTGCCAAGCACTTCACATATATCTTGTTTAACCTTCACAACAACCCTGTCAAACAGATGCAAACATGGTTTTCATTTTATAAATAGGGAAACTGAGGCACTCAAGATTAAGTAACTTCCCTAAAAGCTCATGGTTAGTAAGCAGTATCTCCAAAATTCAAACTCAGCAGTCTGACTCCAGAGTCTAGTTTTTTTGTTTTGTTTTGTTTTTGAGATGGAGTCTCACTCTGTCAGCAGGCTGGAGTGCAGTGGTGCTATCCTGGCTCACTGCAACCTCCGCCTCCCGGGTTCAAGCGATTCTCCTGCCTCAGCCTCCCAAGTAGCTGGGACTACAGGTGTGCACCACCATGCCCAGCTATTTTTTTTTTTTTTTTGTATTTTTAGTAGATACAGGGTTTCACCATGATGGCCAGGATGATCTTGATCTCTTGACCTCGTGATCCACCCACCTCAGCCTCCCAAAGTGCTGGGATTATAGGTGTGAGCCAGTGTGCCCGGCCGAGCCCAGGCTCTTAAGACCTGTTTTTGCTCCTCCCAAACTCTTAGATGCTCTTCCCCACTCTACTACTTACTAGCTGTGCCTCCCAGGGCAGCATGCTGCAGCTCTCGCTCCCTTCGGTCCAACTCCTCTGCCTTCCGGTTGAGCTCCTCCTGTTTCTTTAGCAGCTCAGCTGTAGCTGCTGCAGCTGAGGCCTGCCCAGTGTGAGCAGACAGAGATGTGAGCCCTGGGCCCGAGGACTGGCCCTTCTCCCCAGCCCTCACCTGCACACCTCCGGTACCTGAGTGCTGTAGGAGCCATAGTTCTTAGGTTCTGTGGGGCTGAGCTTTCTCGAGGGCTGCAAGGAGGGAGCTGAGGGTGGAGGCAATGGGGCAGGGGCTGGAGCCTCATAGGCTGGTGGTGGCTGTTGAGGAAAAGACCTTAGTGATCATCTAGTCCCTCGTAACACAGGAATCTAGAGTCTGCTTGAATACCTTTAGACCCAGAACTCATGATGTAAGGAAGCAGCCTTTCCCCCATTTGTTAGGAAACTAGTTCTTCTGTTGAATTTCTGTCAGAGAACCCTATGATGACCTGTAGCAGCCTTATCATCCCTCATATCCACTTCCTTAGCAAGGACTCAAATCACTCGTCTACCACATCTCCCCATTTAACTGTTTTTTTTTTTCCTTTTCTTCTGGGGATGGGGTGTGGGGGTCTCTCTCTGCCACCCATGCTGGAGTGCAGTGGTGCAATTATCACTCATCGAAGCCTCAAACTCCTGGGCTCAAGCAGTCCTTCCATCCCAGCCTCCCAAGTAGCAAGGACTACAGGCATGTGCCACTACACCTAGCCAATTTTTTTTTTTTTTTTTGAGACGGAGTCTCGGTCTGTTGCCCAGGCTGGAGTGCAGTGGCGCGATCTCCGCTCACTGCAAGCTCCGCTGCCTCCCAGGTTCACGCCATTCTCCTGCCTGAGCCTCCCAAGAAACTAGGACTACAGGCGCCCGCCACCACACCCAGCTAATTCTTTTTTTGTATTTTTAGTAGAGACAGGGTTTCACCGTGTTTGCCAGGATGGTCTCGATCTCCTGACCTTGTGATCCGCCTGCCTCGGCCTCCCAAAGTGCTGGGATTACAGGCGTGAGCCACCGCACCCGGCCACCTAGCCAATTTTTAAAACAGTTCAAGAGATGGGGGTCTCGCCGTTGCCCAGGATGGTCTCCATCAAATTCCTGGGCTCAAGCAATCCTCCCACCTCAGCCTCCCAAGTGGGATTATAAGCTTGCACACCATGCTTGGCTCCCCCGCCCCCCCCCTTTTTTTTTAAGTTTTAAGTACCATGAAAACCCCTTAAATTATTACAACTCACCATTTTCTAATCCAGTGGGACAAACAGGTGTAGTCCTCCTCATTCCTTGCTTTCAAACTGCACACCTAACCTAAACTCCAACCAGCCCCAACCTTTTTCTTCAAGAAAGCCTTCCCATACAGAACATTGGTTAAAGCCTTGCCAGCCTCCAGATGTTCCCAAGACTGACTTTTAGAACTCAAACCATTTGGGTTGGTGGCCCTGGTGGCCCTAGAAGGATGAGACATCCCATGGCTGACTAGCCTCTCTCAGGGAACTAAGATCACAGTTCTTCTTCCTTCCTGTGCATGCAGAAAAGTCCCCTGTACCCAGGCTGACTTGTCTCACTGGCAAACCCTCCCCTTCCTTGAATTCCTGTGCTCTCCAGTAGCTCACCTCCCGGGTCTCAAAAGGGTTGTAGACGTCAAGAGTGGCATACTGCCGGCTGGGTCGGTGCTGGATCACAGCTGGGTCCTGAGGGCAGAGACCTGGGGCTCAGATGGTGTCCGGTGCCACTTAGGGGAATTCCCGGGGAGCATTCCCAAACTGCCTGTGGCTCCAAGTACTGCACCTTCGGGGTCACGCCGTCGTCCCAGGACTGGGACAACATTTACCTCGAATCCATCATCCAACACTGCCAGCACCAGCCCATTAAGGGGCAGGGCCCGCCCCCCCCGAGTGCTGACTGGTCTAGAGTCGCTGTCACCCCACGTGGCGGCTCTTCCCAGGATCAAATGTCACTAATGGGGATACAAGGTAGCCCGACCCTACAGAACCGGGAAGAATCAACCTGACTGCCCAAAACAGGCCGACCGGCGCAAGTCACCTGAAAGGGGTTGTCAAGCTCGCTGGGCTCGGCGAACGGGTTTCCGCCGTCTCTGCTCTGAGCCATGTTTGCAACTGCGACCTCCGCGGCCCTCTTCCCTCCACGCCCCTGCCGCAGCAGTGGCGGTAGTGGTAGACCTCAGAGTCCACTTCACTCGCCTCAGTTCGCCTCGCTTCTCTGTGCACGGATTGGTTCCACCGACCGGAAAGGCCACAAGGATCCCCGCAGCAGCCGTGGGTTGCGCCTGCGTCTTGGCTAAAAGCTAAGACGGAAGTGCCCCCACGTGATCTCTCTAACCCAGTGCCCACAACCAAGTACCGCCCCTCTTCCATGTGACTTCCTTCCACTAACGAACTACACTTCCCAGCAGGCCTCATGTAGGAATCCGGCCTTCCTAGTCTCTCGAAATGGACGACGGGAGCCTTCTGACCGGCCCTGCCAAACCCCTAGGAGTCAGGTTAAGAACGTTTTCAACCTGGGTTTCTGGCTCTATACTGGGGCACGGCCCAAAGACTCTAGGAGTCAGATCTTTCCCAACTCTCATGATTCCACATCCGAGAAGTGCCACCATATAACACTTCTCTATTCTAATCTGAAAGAAATGCCCCACCCATCGCTATCCTCCCCTATAAGGTGGACAGGGGAAATAAACTTGTAGCCTGGCTCTGCTTAATTTTGGAGGGTAAGAAGGACTCCCTTCATACCCAAAACTCAAGAAAGTTTGCCAATCGTTTCATCCCTCCACCCCAGCATTCCCAAACCTCCAACTCCACGGATGGGGGTCAAATGAAGCACGTTATTTTATTTCACAAAGACTGTACAAAATTCCTTATAAAACATTGGGTAGATGCCACCTGGTTACCTCACTCGGTCCCCATCCAACTCCGTATGAGGGGGCAGGTGAGGGTGGAAACTGTGTGGATGGAAGAGCATTATGTACAAGGCAGGGGTTGAAGTGATAGGTACAAGTTCTTTCATATTTACACTATTTCACATATTCACAGGTATACAGCCAGCCAAGGAGGAAGGAGTGAACTCTGGCTCATTCTCTTGTATAAAAAAGCACCAGTGTCCTGGACTGGACACCCACTGCTATAAAAGATGCAGGGGGGCCCAGGGCCTGATCGTCACCGACTGATATCCCGACTGGAGTCCCACAACTTGTTGGGTGGCTCAGCCCGAAGGCGGGTGAAGAAAGGATGCTGAAGGGCTTCACCCAAGGTCAGCCGCTTAGCTGGTTCATACTCTAGCATGCTTTCAATCAGATCGAAGAGCTGGTGGTGTTCCTCTGCCTCTGAGGTCAGATACCGCTGGTGGAGGAGGGCAGGAAAAGGTGAGGCAGGATGCCTTATAAACCCTGCCTTCTTCAAGACCCTACCTTTCATTCTTGGAGAACCAAGGCTCTGCTTGCAACCAATTTGAAGGCTACCTAACCACGACCACACCAGGACCAACGTTTCTGATATTATAGCTCAACCTACCTTCCCACTAGCACAATTACTCCATAATCTTTGAAAGTTCTTTCTACTTGTATATCCTTGTCAACTTCATGAATCTTCTTTAGTTCCTCATTAAAATGTAAGCTCTTCAAAGGTAGTTTATTCTTTTCTGTCTGACCTAAAGAATCCAGGACATTGCTTTGATCTCTGGTTGTCTCAAGGTTAGGCTGTCTAACCTCCTTCCCTCCACAAAACCACTCCCTCTTATGTTTCCTCTGTTGACCAAAGATGTCTTCTTTCAGCTTTCCTCCCCTCCTTTCCTAACCCTCTGCTTGTGAAGAGCATTCCAGGGGCAAACCACCCTAAGAAGTGACTTCTGGATGGTGGGCACTATTTATCCCGAGCCTGGCTCACCCGCAGCGGTTTGCAGTTCTCACGAACATAGCGCCCAGCTGATGTGTTCTCATCCCAATCCAGGCGACCCCGGTAAAAATATTTCTGCTTTCTAGAGGGGAAGGGGAGGTTGAGGAATCAGAAGGTCACCCTTGTTACAATTCCCTTATTTCCCCATCTGAAAGTAACTGGGGGGACAGGAGGCATCAAAGAAAAAAGAAACTGATGTGAAATAGACCAATTCTGTGGAGAGAAAAGGAAAAGGGTTAACTAGTGCACACTCAAGGTTCACCTTGTCTTTCGGATCATCCGGGAAGGGATAGGACCCAATATCCTTTCCATCATGGCTAGATGCTCTCTGTTGTCATGGGTCTGGGAAACAAAAACAGAACTGAGCATGGGACTGAAAAGGGCATGCTGAGGACCAGCTGCCAGGAAGATGGGCAATGTGGAGAACTGAGTAGGCAGGTCCTCAGCAGACAACAAAGCAACCAGGTAGAATGCCAGGTGGTCAAGTAAGATATCCCATCACTTACCTGGAAGAGGGTGAATCCCACATAGTACTCAAAGATGATGCAGCCTATACTCCATACATCACAAGGCTGTGACCAGCCCAACTCTGGGTGAGAATGGGAGGGAAAAGGTGTTATGAGGCTTAGGTGGCCCCACCCTCACCACATCATCTCACACACTTGGACAGCCTTGCCCTCCCTTACCAAGGATGACCTCTGGTGCTCGGTAATGGCGAGTGGAGACAATGGTGCTATGGTGCTCATGGTCAAAGGTGGCACTGCCAAAGTCTACCACCCGCACAGCTGTGCTCTTCACACTGCGCTCATCTCGCTTCTAGGAGCAGAGGAGGAAGAGGATGAACCTCTGCACCCAGACTGAGATTCCACCAGTATTCTCTACCGTGCTTCTGAGCCTTAAAAAAGCTACTGTGATCTCCTGCCTGGCCCCACAAGCCCTGGGAAATTTCCTGTTTTACAGCTCCCACCACATCCAGCATAATACTTTTAGAAGTAGGGGAGCAAAAGGATTAAGAAATGATTATAGAACAGCGTGCACATCTGTAAACATCTGAAGACTACACCCAAGTGCCGGATATACAGTTATTCTGAAAACGTGTAACATGTAGCAAATGGGTTTTCCTGAAAAAAATGTAACATGTAGCAAAGGGGTTTCTCTGAAAATATATAACATGCAGCAAAGGGGTCAAGGGAGGGAGAGCTTCTTTAGGTCTGAGATCTCCATCATCTCCAGTTAGTCAAGGGAGCCAAGCTTTCCTACCTCACAGAAATATACATCTCAAAAAACAAGTCCAGGCCAGGCGCTGTGGCTCACACCTGTAATCCCAGCATTCTGGGAGCCCGAGATAGGTGGATCCTCTGAGGTTAGGGGTTCGAGACCAGCCTGGCCAACATGGCAAAACCCCATCTCTACTAAAAACACAAAAACTAGCCAGGCATGGTGGCGGGTGCCTGTAATCCCAGCTACTCCAGAGGCTGAGGCAGGAGAATCACTTAAACTTGGGAGGTAGAAGTTGCAGTGAGCCAAGATTATGCCAGTGCACATCAGCCTGGGCAACAGAGCGAGACTCCAATCTCAAATAAATAAATAAATCAGTCAGTCAGTCCAAACAGAACCTTAAAATTTTTCACTCTACTGGAAAGTTATCTGAAGTCCCCTGTACAAGTTATCTCCCAATTTAAGTCTTAAGAGATCTCTCCCTTTCAACCTATCTAGTTTTACCCACTTGGAACCAGACAGGGAGAAAATGTGGCAGGACAAAATAAAAAGGGAGAAAAGAAAGGGCTCGGCAGAAGGCAAAGTGGCCCAGCTGCCTACCCCCAGTAACCAAGGGCAGACCCTATCCATCTTACCTTCTCTAGGTTGTAGGTGAGCTCATAGTCTGAATTCACAAACAGAATATTTTCAGGCTTGAGGTCTGTATGTGTCAGCTTGTTATCATGGAGGACTGTAGGGGAGAAGGCCAGGTCAGGCTTGGTGCAGGTGGCCAGAGCTAACTGGTATCAGCTGACCCCAGGCCTGGTTACCTAGGGCAAAGCCAGTGAGGAGACAGGTCCAGAATCACAAGAGGGCTGCTTTCTGCTCTACGTCTAAATGGAATGCCTGGTCTAAGAAGCTCTGCTCTATCTACAATAAGATACATATGTATCTCAACTGATGTAAAACAAAAAAAAAAAAAGAGTTTGCTTTGAGTTATAGTGTGTATACACTTTGACATGTGTCTAGCTGGCATTATGTGAACTTAGTTCTGTGAAACTGTATTGTTTTGATGACTCCAGAGGAATAATGTATTTCTTTGAATTCCCCACCTTGCCCCTTAGCTGAACTACATACTCTGTGTTCACATCTGCTTTGCTTTGCATGAACATCTCATCCCAGACACATGTAAGCCTTTAACCTAAAGAGTGTATTTTTGTTTCTTTATATTTGCTGTCTGACTGATGCTTTCCCAAGAAGGGGAGGAAAGGAAAAGGGGAGGGTAATTAAGTGCTTTGATTCCAAAGGCTTTCTCTTCTAGCTGCTGCTAGGTTAGGTGTAGAGTAAGAGCAGTCAGTGACAATAAAGACATTAGTCAAGGAGCTAAGTCAGAAGACATTTCAAGATGACAGTAAAACAACTGCAGATAACAGAGAGCTGACTGTTTAGGGGCTTCACCAGTGCACAACCGACAGAGAGATCCAATGAAGGGAGGGGATGCTCGAGAGTCCATTTCAGCCCACCCCACTCACACTTGACAGCCTGGCACAGCTGGAAGGCCATGTGGCGCACTTGGTGGATGGGGTAGGGCAGGTAGTTGTTGTCTTTGAGGAAATCGAAGGTGCTAAGGCCCAGAAGCTCAAAGGAGATACACATGTGGCCATGGTAGTCAAACCAGTCAAACATCTGGACACAGAGGCTGAGAAGAGAGATGGGGGAAGGGGGGTTGTCTGATGAGCTCCCATCTGCCCATCAGCCCTCCAACAAGGAGGTACTTCATAGCTGTTGATTCCACAAACTTGTGTGAAACCATGCCAGTTAATACTAACACCAAAATTCAGTTCAGCTAGGGAATAGCCTCTGCAAGACCCAAGAAGAATGGTACTACTTGCCAAGTTTCAAAATATCTTCCTGCATCATTTTAAATAGTTCAAAAAACTATTTACTGAAGAGCTGTTGAGTGCCAAGTTCCAAACAGTACAGATCCTGGATCATCAAACTGTCCATCCTAAACCCCAACCCCAGCCCAACTCCTGATATTCATTCACCACCAGCTACCACTGGGCTCCTGTTTATACCTACTGGCCTCATATCTTGGCTTAATGTCCTTATTCTATTTTTGGACTGTGAATATATGTGAACAAAATATTACTGCATAAATGTCTGTGGCCTTATCAGCATAGTTCTACTTATAAAAGCTTAATTCGTTGTTCAATGAGGTTGATGCTCAGTCCTAGGGCTATGTCCAGTGTATATCTCTACAGAACCCATTCTAGGCTGGGGTCAAACTACAGAGCAATCTAACTTCCCTGAAAACAAGGGGAGTGGATTAAGGCATGTCATAGGCCCCCACATTCCTACTCTGATGTTCTACTACTCTAAGATGATGAACAAAAGATGAATGAATGACAAGGTCTAGGATTCCTGTCTGCCTAAACCAGATCTAGAAGTCTCTCCTGTGTAGGGGTTGGGCCTCTCAGCCTCCCTACATACTTTCTTGCTTGCTTACTTCTTGTTGTCAGGGTCTTTCTCGTTTATTTTCTCCAGCACATTGATCTCAAGTCGAGCTGCTTCCTTGTACTTCTCCACATTCTTAATGATCTTCAGGGCAACTCGAGCCCCACCCCTGTAAGTTGGCAGGAGAGGCTTTTGCTGGGTTCTCAAGAATGTCTCAAAATGAACAGGGCTGTAGGGGGACTAAGAAATCCTACCTTAGGTTAATTAGCAAAATAGCCCCATATAACCCCCACCATCTCTTTATCCCCACATAGTAGGGAGGGACTGACAGTTACCTGCGATGGTCAACACATTGTACAACTCGGCCGAAGGTCCCCTCTCCTAAGGTGCTAACGATTTCATCTGAAATGAAAGAGAGCAGGGTCGGGGAGAGGGAGGGAGAGAAGGTGGGGAATGAGCTGAGTTGGAAGAAAAATGGGGACAGCAACCTGGGGTGGAGATGAAGGAAGGGGAACAGATACAGATGGTCACAGGGGAAGAAAACCCCTGCGTGATTCCCACCACCTTTAACCCAGGGGCCGTGAGAGCTGGGAGTGGACAACAGAGGTCAATTCTCAACAGCAACTCAAACCACCCAGATAAACAACACCACTGAGAAAAGGCAAGAGGCTGTGACTCAGGTTGGCTTGGGACGTTAGGATGGCTATGGGACCATTACAGGCTATAGGATTGTTACGATTTGGCTTGTACATCGCTCTTGTAGCCAGTCCCCGACGTGGTAGATGAGGTGGCCCTCAGCGTCGTCCTCTACACTCTTGGCTCTCCGGCTGCTGTGCTGCTGTCGGGGGGCAGGGGGGGTCGGAGCAAGCCAGGTGTCGGAGCGGGGGCCGGAGGGAGGCGGGGTGGGTGGTAGAGGGGTCACCGGTCACAGGCGCCCAGCCAGGGGGGACAGACGATGATGGGGGACAGTGGAAGGGAACACGTCAGATGCAGTAAGGTGGATCGGTGTGAGAAGAGAGAGCGGCGCATAATCCCAAGTCCCCAAACCCAAAACAGGAACAGGGAGAGGCGTGGGCAGAGCAGGGAAGTGGTGTTGTTGCCAATGTCACCCACAACCCCATGCTCTACACAATGCCCTTCTGGGCAGACACAGATCTCCCCTTGCCCCCACCCAAGCCCGCCTGCCAAGGGGGCTACAGAGCCCAGGGCTTGGGGGAAAAAGGCAGTTCACAAGCAAGGTCCCCATTAAAGAGTGGAGGCCGCTGGGGCGGAGAAGCTGCTCCCAACACAATAAGCCCAACATGCCAGGGAGAGCACTGGGGGTCACAAATGCTCCGTGCCCATCCATCTCCAAAGCAGATTCCAGGGCCCTTCAAGAGTCGGAGAGCTCCTAAGAGGGTAGGCAAACTCAGTGCCCACCTCAGTGTTCATGCCCCAATGTTCAGCTGAGAACAAGGATACTTCTCACTTACCAGAGTCCTAGAGGGCCTGCAGAAGAGTGGGGAGAGGAAGGGCCTGGGCTGGCACTCACCGAAGATGAGCGGCTAAATGTCCGGCTGCGTCTCCTCCGCCGTCTGTGCTTCCTCCGGCTGCTGCGCTGGCTGCGGTAACTGCTGTTCTCCCGCTGATATTCATAGGAATGCCGATAGTCTGTGTCATAGTAGGCATCTCCCCGATCCCGGCTATAATCGTTGCGTCTGTAGCTGCCACAGTATCGCCGGTCATACACCCTCCGGTCAGATGAACGATCATCATAACTGCTGTTGGATAACAAAAACCAATTAGGCGTATCTGTTCAGACCACATTCCCTACCATACCCTGTGACAAAGTCTTGCCTTAGTGAGGACAAAGAGTAATGCTAGAAAACTGTTCTCGGCCGGGCACGGTGGCTCAAGCCTGTAATCCCAGCACTTTGGGAGGCCCAGACGGGTGGATCACAAGGTTAGGAGATCGAGACCATCCTGGCTAACACAGTGAAACCCCGTCTCCACTAAAAAATACAAAAAACTAGCCAGGTGAGGTGGCGGGCGCCTGTAGTCCCAGCCACTCAGGAGGCTGAGGCAGGAGAATGGCGTAAACCCGGGAGGCGGAGCTTGCAGTGAGCTGAGATCGCGCCACTGCACTCCAGCCTGGGCGACAGAGCGAGACTCTGTCTCAAAAAAATAAAAAAAAAGAAAGAAAACTGTTCTCAGACACTTTGTTGAGTCACTGAGAGGACCAAGGGACCAGAGAAGTGAGGTAACAAGCGCATCTGCCATGTCACCAAAACCTCTAAAAAGGCATCTGCAGAACCACTCCCTACTGGGGCCTTTTTCCCACTGCAGTGACACAAAGAAACAAAGAGCCATTTTTTTTTTTTTTGAGACGGAGTCTCGCTCTGTCACCGAGGCTGGAGTGCAGTGGCCGGATCTCAGCTCACTGCAAGCTTCGCCTCCCGGGTTCACGCCATTCTCCTGCCTCAGCCTCCCGAGTAGCTGGGACTACAGGCGCCCGCCACCTCGCCCGGCTAGTTTTTTGTATTTTTTAGTAGAGACGGGGTTTCACTGTGTTAGCCAGGATGGTCTCGATCTCCTGACCTCGTGATCCGCCCATCTCGGCTTCCCAAAGTGCTGGGATTACAGGCTTGAGCCACCGCGCCCGGCCAAGAGCCATTTTTTTTTCTCAAGCTTTCCTGACTGAAATCCACCCTTGCTCTAAACCATCCGTAACCCATTCTTTCCACTGAACATGCCACTAAAATATTAAAACTGGGCCAGGTGCGGTGGCTCACGCCTGTAATCCTAGCACTTTGGGAGGCCAAGGCAGGTGAAGCACTTGAGGTCAGGAGCTCGAGGCCAATATGGTGAAATCCTGTCTCTACTAAAAATACAAAAAAAAAAAAAAAAAAAAAAAAATTAGCCAGGAATGATGGCGCATGCCTGTAGTCCCAGTTACTTGGGAGGCTGAGGCACAAGAATCGCTTGAACCCGGGGCCGCAGAGGTAGAAGTGAGCTGAGATCTTGCCACTGCACTCCAGACTGGGCAACAGAGTGAAACTGTCTCAAAAATAAATAATATTTTAAAATTTAAAAAATAAAATAAAATATTAAAAACACAAAGATCTAACTTTGTATTATCTGTCAGCTTATTAGTTACCCGTAGCTCCCAGTCCTTTGCACATGCTTTCCCTCTGCCCAAAGACACTTCCCCCACCTGACTCTTACTTGTCCTCCAGACATAGATAGATGTCGCTTTCTCTGCAATGTATTCTCTGAATTACAGATCCTGCCCCACTCCAACCAAATGCACTGGGTACATCCTCAGTTCCTCATTATGTATTCTAACACTTAACACTGCAGCCCAAATGGCTTCTTTGGTTATCTATCCCGACACTACCTTCAGCCAACTACTTAATGCAACAGTTTTAGCATATAACTAGTATTTGTTGAACAAATAATGAGTGAGTGACCCTGTATTTGAGTATCTCTTCCTGAGGCCTCACCTTCGAGAACGGACATGGTAGCTGTCCTCTCGCCGGCGCCGTCGAGTCCGGTCACTACTACTTGACCAGGAGCGACTTCTTCGTCGCTTATGCTTTCGGCTTCGATAGTGTTCACGGTAACTCCCCCGGCTGCCTCGCTCTGAGGAATGGTACCTTCGAGGATGAGGCATCTGGAAGGGAAAGGAAAGTGGAAATAGGAAAGTTCCGAGTTTTCAGAAGTCTCCTCCAAGGACTGGCTGCTCAAAAGATGCTAAGCTGCTTTCCCCTCTTTTATTTCTGCCTCTTTTTACCACGAACAACTTCCTCAGTCTTCCTCTGTACTTACAATTCCTCCTTATTGGAGTATAGCCACCTACTAACTCTGGCTGAAACTCTAGAAAGCCCCCAAACCCATCCCTCATTACCCTCCACTCAGTTCAAGTGTTATTTTTTTCTTGAGACGGAGTCTTCCTGTGCGGCCAGGCTAGAGTGCAGTGGCACAATCTCAGCTCACTGCAACCTCCACTCCCGGGTTCAAGCGATTCTCCTGCCTCAGCTTCCTGTGTAGCTGGGATTACAGGCACATGCCACCACTCCTGGCTAATTTTTAAATTTTCAGTAGAGACGGGGTTTCACCATGTTGGCCAGGATGGTCTCAAACTCCCGACCTCAGCCTCCCAAAGTGCTGGGATTACAGGCGTGAGCCACCGCACCCAGCCAGTTCAAGTGTTCTATCCTTATTTTCTTCACACACAGCTCCATGAAGACTTTCAGGTCTAGGACAGAGTTAATTACAACGGGAAGTGTATGACGAAGATAGAGACTGCCACAGTGTATCCCCGGTCAGGATCTAAGATATAGATCTGTGCGATGCTGAGTTCCTCACAAGTCAATAAAGCTTTGGTTTACAGTTATGATACATGTCGTACACTCACTAAGACTACGTCTTATCTCCCCAAGTAGACTATCAGTGTCCTGAGGGTAGGAATCCAGTCTCCCAGGTTTCTACATATACCAGGTAAACGCCAAATACTATCAGTTCCAAGGATCTGGGTCGGGCCCTTTGAATTAATTTAATCATCTCTCACATCTTTGGCCAACTCTACCTTGAGAGGTTTTAATGTAGTAGGCCACAAAATACAGTCAGCATCCCATCTGGCCCCTCCACTCTTGTGCTTGAGATGTAGAGAATAACTGTTTTGTGTGTGTGTGTGTGTGTTTTTTTGAAACGGAGTTTTGCTCTTGTTGCTCAGGCTGGAGTGCAATGGCGCAATCTCGGCTCACCGCAACCTCCGCCTGCCGGGTTCAAGCGATTCTCCTGCCTCAGCCTTCCGAGTAGCTGGGATTACAGGCATACGCCACCATGCCCGGCTAATTTTGTATTTTTTAGTAGAGACAGGGTTTCTCCATATTGGTCAGGCTGGTCTCGAACTCCCAATCTCAGGTGATCCGCCCGCCTTGGCCTCCCAGTGTGCTGGGATTACAGATGTGAGCCACCGCGCCTGGCCAGTAAGTGGTTTTTTATTAATATCAGCCCTACTTAGCTGACAGCTGGCCACCTTCCAGTTAATGGAATTGGAATGGGATGGTTCACAAATCCTTTTTTTCCTTTAAGGAAAAAAGAAAAAAATCACTGTCACAATCCAGGAAGATGAGAATAAGAAGGCAGAATAAAATGAAACAGGCCCAGGGACAGAAGTCTTGGTGGTGGTGCATGAGAATCGGGTATGCAAAAGGTTTAACGATTCCAACGTCTGACCACCATTCTGTATCACTTCTTTCCAACCTCCCCAAATTGAGGAGGGTGGTATTTGATGCATTCTTGGTGTAACTGCGGCCGGGAGCATACCAAGATGCAAGCACAAGATTTTCCCAGCACAGCCATCCGAATCAGCATAGCCACATAAATGCCATCTTACCACATACTACCATCAAACGGCCTCACAGCACTTTCCCCTCAAAGCATCACTAGTCTACCTTTCTAAAGTTTGAAATCTTTTGCTTTTTCCTTTCTTACTCAGAAAATCCAGAACTCCTACAGGCAAATTCTTCCTGCATGCTCCAAGTGACGCGGTGATGTATTCCTCCCCTCCAGCTTTGATTGGACCCCTGAGTCCAACTTTGATATTCCACTCCTTCACATCTCTGGAACCACTCCCATCCTTACTCTATCACCCCTTCTAGTCTGGCTCCGCCCAAGTTTCCTACAGGTCTTCTCAGTACATCTAATGCAGGCCGACCTCCTTTCCCCTCATCTCCCTACTTCGCCGCTTCGTAGGTCTCAACTCTCCTCCTCTCCAAATCTCGCCCCCGTCCCTTGCCCCCAATCCAAGCCTAACCCCGCCCGCCCCGCGGTCGCCATCTTTTCGCGCGGCCCCGCGGTCAGCCAACCCGCGCGCTCACCGTTCTGGCGGCGAGGCCCGTGCGCTTGTCCCACAGGAAGTCCGTGATGGCGGCGGCACTGCGGCCGGAGTCCCGGCACCCCCGCGGCGACGAAGTGCTGCTCCACACCCCCAACCCGGGACCCTGGGACCTCCCGCCCCGTTCCCGGGCTCCGCTTCAGTCCCTCCCGCCCCGGCTCCGTCCCCGCCCCTAAGATCTGCTTGGCGCCGCTCGCACCGCCCCCGCCCGGGGCCCGATCCCAGCTCGGTCTCCGGCTCTGGCCTCTCCGCTCCGCCGCCGCCGCCGTGAGCGAGCACGCACGCACGGACTCACGTCTTGCGTCGCTTCCCAGCTACCCCCTGGGCACCGCCCCCAGGACCGCGCGCGCCACCACGTGCTCACGTAGCTGGCAGGCGTCAGCCTGTCAGAGCCTCGGAGGTACTGGGGGCGGAAGTTCATAGGGGCGAGGAGGGTCCACAGGGACAAGCTGGAAGCCTTCCAGGCCCGCTATGCCCCGCCTCCTGTCCTTTCCCACTCCCTCTTCAATCTTTTACCCTTTGCATGGAGACGTGTGGCTTAGTTAGGTTTGGAGTTTAAAAGAAAGGATTGTCATTATCAATACAGTGTCGCTGCTCTGCAAGCCCGACTCTAGTGAGGCTTGATGGTGAAGTCTCATTCTTCTGCATAGCCTGAAAATAACCATTTCTTAAAACACATCACCTACCTATCCCCAGAACAAAAGTCTGCCACCTTTTGTCATCAGCAAAAGTTATGCACGACTCGGGGTGGGGTCACAGCCATGGGGGAAAGGTTTGAGCAATGGAGGGTTAGAGAATCGGGTGCCGAAAAAGGGGACTCACTTGAGAACTGTATCCTAAAGTGGCTTACATAATGTGTGAGAAATATAAGTTTACTAGGGCTGGGCGCGGGGGCTCAAGTCTGTAATTCCAACACTTTGGGAAGCCGAGGCCGGCGGATCACGAGGTCAGAAGTTCGAGATTAGCCTGATCAACATGGTGAAACCCCATCTCTACTAAAAATACAAAAATCAGCCGGGCGTGGTGGCATGCGCTTGTAATCCCAGCTACTCAGGAGGCTGAGGCAGGAGAATCGCTTGAACCCGGGAGGCGGAGGTTGCAGTGAGCCAAGATCATGCCATTGCACTCCATCCTGGGTGACAGAGCGAGACTCTGTCTCAAACAAAACAAAACATATATATGTACACACACATATGTTTACTACAGGCGCGCATCACCACGCCCAGCTTTTTTTTTTCTTGTAGAGATAGTGCCTCACTTTGTTACCCAGGCTGGTCTTGAACCCTTGAGCTCAAGCAATCCTCCCCCGTCGGCCTCCCAAAGTGCTGGGATTACAAGCATCAGGCACCGTGCCTGGCCAGTTTACTAAATCTTAAAAAAGAACAGGAAGGCTGGGTGAGGTGGCTCACGCCTGTAATACTAATACCAACACTTTGGGAGGCCAAGGTGGGTGGATCAATTGAGCACAGGAGTTCGAGACCAGCCAGGACAACAGGGCGAAACCCAGACTCTACAAAAAATACAAAAATTAGGCCAAGTGTGGTGGCTCATGCTTGTAACCCCAACACTTTTGGAGGCCCAGGCAGGTGAATCACTTGAGCACAGGAGTTCAAGACCAGCCTGGCCAACATGGTGAAACCCCGTCTCTACTAAAAATACAAAAATTAGCCAGGTGCAATGGCGGGTCCCTGTAATACCAGCTATTCTGGAGGCTGAGGCACGAGAATCGCTTGAATCCGGGAGGCGGAGGTTGCAGTGAGCCGAGATGGTTCCACTGCACTCCAGCCTGGGCAACAGAGTGAGACTGTGTCTAAAAAATAAATAAATAAATAAATAAATGAAAATAAAAATTAGCCAGTCATGGTGTCTCTCGCCTGTAGTCCCAGCTACTTGGGAGGCTGAGGCGGGAGGATCACCTGAGCCTGGGGAGGTCGAGGCTGTAGCGATCCGTGATCGTGCCACTGCACTCCGGCTTGGGTGACAGAGTGAGACTCTTTCTCAAAAAAAAAATAAATAAATAAATAAAAGAAAAGAAAAAAAGAAAATGAGAAGAAGTAGTTACTCTACAGAAGGAATTGAGAAGTGGTCAGAAAGGTAAATTGGAAGAGAAATAATATAATCTGAGAATAACTATATTAAAGTCAGGAAGCTGAGCAAAGTGGTTCACACCTGTAGTCCCAGTTACTCAGGAAACTGAGGTGGGAAGATTGCTTTGAGGCTGCAGTGGGTCATGATCGCACCACTGCACTCCAGCTTGAGCAACAGAGCTGACCTTGACTCTAGAATGAGTATATAAATAAAGTCAGGAAATATTAGAGAGGAGCTGGATGAAGGATAGTCACATGGAGGTTAGATCAGATAACCAGACATAGTTTAGAGAAGTTCTCTGGAATAGAAGATGAAGGGCAATCAATGAAGAGTCGGGGAGAGAGAAGTAAAGATTTCACTTCCTCCTCCTGGCACATTTTCTTAGATTATTAATTCATTCAACAAGCATTTACTGAATGTCCACTATGTGTCCAGCATTGTGCCAGGAGCAAGGTTCCTGTTTCTCAGAGTTTCACAATCTAACAGGAGAGACAAACCTGTAAATAAATAATGAGACCACGCTCACGCCTGTGATCCTAGCACTTTGGGAAGCCAAGGCAGGAAGATCACTTGAGCTCAGGAGTTCAAAACCAGCTCGGGCAACATAGTGTGACCTCATCTCTTAAAATAATAATAATAATGGTATCCCTGTGACATGAGCTGCTCAAAACAGTGGTGCCCTGGCTGCTGTAAAAAAGCTCTAGAAGGCCGGGCGCGGTGGCTCACGCCTGTAATCCCAGCACCTTGGGAGGCCGAGGCGGGCGGATCACAAGGTCAGGAGATCGAGACCACGGTGAAACCCCGTCTCTACTAAAAATACAAAAAACTAGCCGGGCGAGGTTGTGGGCGCCTGTAGTCCCAGCTACTCGGGAGGCTGAGCCAGGAGAATGGCGGGAACCCGGGAGGCGGAGCTTGCAGTGAGCCGAGATTGCGCCACTGCACTCCAGCCTGGGCGACACAGCAAGACTCCGTCTCAAAAAAAAAAAAAAAAAAAAAAAAAAAAAAAAAGCTCTAGAATAGGCCGGGCACAGTGGCTGAAGCCTGTAATCCCAGCACTTTGGGAGGCCAAGACGGGCGGATCACAAGGTCAGGAGATTGAGACCATCCTGGCTAACACGGTGAAAACCCGTCTCTACTAAAAAAAACAAAACACTAGCCGGGCGATGTGGCGGGCGCCTGTAGTCCCAGCTACTCGGGAGGCTGAGGCAGGAGACTGGCGTAAACCTGGAAGGCGGAGCTTGCAGTGAGCTGAGATCCGGCCACTGCACTCCAACCTGGGAGACAGAGGGAGGCTCCATCTCAAAAAAAAAAAAAAAAAAAAAAAAGGCTCTAGAATAGACCCTACCTGGGGAAAGGAGAGCTGGAAATGTGTTTCTAGGTTTCCTAGAGAAGGTGAGATCTGAACCAAGTGTTTGAAAGTGAATTAGAGGAGAATACCAGGCAGAGAAAATATTTGTAAAAGCATAGAGACAAGGCACAAAGTCTTTCAGCATGATTGGGGCTCTGGCTTGCACGAGGGGGACGGTCAGAAGACAGACTGTTGAAACTAGGTCCAAATTTTTGGGGCCTGGTACACCATGCTAAGGAGCTTAAATGTACCCCGGTAGAAGATGGGAAAGCCTGATGGACTTCAAGCAAGTGACATAGCCATAGTTGGATTTTAGGAAAGTAACTGGCAGGGAATGGAAGAAGAATTAGCCTAGAAGAAGTCGAAGACTCTTTTAGAGGTTTCTGAAGTAATTTAGGTGAAAAAATCCTTAGGGCTTGACATAAGGCAGTGGCAATAAGAATTGGAGATGAAGGGAAGAATTGGAGATGAAGGGAAGAATCTGAGATATTTAGGAGTTTATAGCACTTCGCATAGCGCTGCAATTTACCTGTCTGTCCTTGGGCACAGATGAGCAGTGGCTTTATGGCTAGGCCTTTGTTTTTGTTTTGTTTTGTGTTGTTTTCCATTACTACATGGAGATGCTAAGAGTAGGACTTTTATATCCACTCAATGACAGACAGAGTTGCACTTGGTGAAGGCTGACAGAATGAATTAGGGAATTAAATACTTGGGGAAGCAGTTCGGAGGAGACCAAAAAGACAAGAATATGCCTAGGACAGTGTTGAGAGAAGACGGAAGCAGGACAGAAGTCCCTGGGCGAGAGTGGGGAAGAATCCCAAAAGCCATTTCCACTTCTTCCATTGGTCCCAAATCCCTCAAGCTACACATCCGCGTCCGATTTTCCCGCCACTGCAGGAGGCTCCTCCTCCCTGGCTCTCAGTGGATGAAAGGCTAACACTAGGCCACGCCTCTCCCTGGCTCAGGCTGAGCGCCCCGCCTTCCTTGCTAAGCCACGCCCGTCTCGGAGTTCCTCCAGGATCCCGGCTTGCCAGCCCCGCCCGGTCTTCGCGCTGCCCTCGCCAGGGGGCGCCGCGCAGCCAGCCCGCCGCCCGCCAGTCTAGCGCACACCCCCTCCGCCCCGCGCGCCGGCGGTTCCGAGCCTACGACGCCTCCGCTGGAACCCGCGGGGCTGCGCCGACTCCCACTCTGGAGGGGTTGGGGGTACCTGATGGCCACATAGGGCTCTAGGAGGCCGAGCGTGTAAGCGGGGTGGGCGCCATGGAGGCGGAGCAGGGGCCGGTTGCGGGGGCCAGCGAAGGGGCGACCCCTGGGCTGGAGGCCCCCAAGGTGCCTCCCGTTGCTCCCCGGCCTGCGACCGCGGCCTCAGGTCCGATCCCCGGATCTGAGTCTGAGCCTAAGAGAAGGCACCTTGGGACGCTGCTCCAACCTACGGTCAACAAGTTCTCCCTTCGGGTGTTCGGCAGCCACAAAGCAGTGGAAATCGAGCAGGAGAGAGTGAAGTCAGCGGGGGCCTGGATCATCCACCCTTACAGCGACTTCCGGTATTGGGGGCTCGGCCGGGAGGGCAGGGTACATCAATCCCACCCTCGCGGGCAGCGACACCGGGACCCGGCCCGCACCACCCTCCACGGTCACTTCATTTCCAGCCCAGGGATCCCTTGGTGGGGCGGGAGAGTCACTTCCTCCAATCTAGCCTGGGAATTCCTGGGCGGGTATCCCCTGCCGGAGGTCCTCCGTGCCTTGGCAAGCTGGGGGCACCAGAAGGGGCAAACAGATATCAGGGGATCTCCAGAGACCTGGATTTCCTCTTTCAGGAACCCAGGACCCCAACCGGACCACAGGA